AGGTCCCCCAACTCGAGGAAGCAGCAAAGCTTCCATTTTTGCAGACTGCCGACTGAGAAAGCTAATAGGACGAAAGGAAGAAGGGTCGGAAAGGTCCTTATCGGGCTTAGGGATCATAGTTATTATTGCGGACTTAGCGGGACGTGTCCTAGGCGGAGACAGGCGTTGTAGATGAGATAGAGAGAGTGAAGGGCACGCGAGGAGAGATGTTTAATGCTATTAACGAAAATATTATCGGGGCCAGGGGCTTTATTGGGGGAAACTTTAATCGCGGCCTCGATCTCATCGAGCGTTATTTCGTAAGAGCTTTCTGTGAGAGAGAAAGATACTCAGGTTTAGAGGAGAGGTCTAAGAGAGAGAAGTTACAGATTTTCTTTTCGAGATCGAGGCATACCTCTGGGGGGCGGCGCCCCAGGGAGCTGGGGGGTTCAGTCATAGCTTCCAGCAGAGTAGATGCAAAAATGGAAGCTTTGCTCTCATCACTGCAGTGAGTCCCGCCGTCGAATTTAAGGGGTCTACAATTGCTGTTTCTAGGGTTGCCAACCCTTTTAAATAACTTCCAAAAATTGGCTGGATCCTCTTCGCTATTTAATTGCTCGCTTTTCGTAAGTGAGAGCTTTCTGTGAGGGAGAGAGATACTCAGGTTTAGAGGAGAGGTCTGAGAGAGAGAAGTTACAGATTTTCTTTTCGAGATCGAGGCAAACCTCTGGGGGGCGACGCCCCAGGGAGCTGGGGGGTTCAGTCATAGCTTCCAGCAGAGTAGATGCAAAAACGGAGGCTTTGCTCTCATCACTGCAGTGAGTCCCGCCGTCGAATTTAAGGGGTCTACTTTTACTGTTTCTAGGGTTGCCAACCCTTTTAAATAACTTCCAAAAATTAGCTGGATCCTCTTCGCTATTTAATTGCTCGCAAAAATCACACCAGTACTGATCGCTCTCGATCTTAATTAGGGCTTTAATCTCATGATTAAGCTTATTGATTAATGGCTTCAGGGTGGGGTCTTTATTGCGATAAAATAAACGACGGAGTTTCCTCCGCTCTTTAATTTTATTGAGGGTTTCTACAGAGAGATTGTAGGGCTTTTGGGAGGGAGTCGTCTTGGGGACGGCAATGTCCTGGGCGATTTGAATCGCTTCAGTGATGAGAGTGACTGCTTCCTCGAGTTGGGGAGTCTACTAATCCTCGTACGTGGTTTTCAAAGGGAATATGGGCATATTTCTTGCCTGGACACCATAATTCTATCTGGAAGACGGGGATGATAAATAAGGAAGTGTCGAAGTTTATTGATTGCTACAATGAGGGAAGGTGAGACATTTGGGGATGTACAAAACTCTCTTGTGAGAAATAATTCCATGGGTAAAGGGAGGGCACTTTTGTGTCCTTTGAGAAATGCGAGAACCCAATACCTCCATCTAGTGGCCTAGAGGAGAACTTCAAACGGAACCCTTTAGACCTATATGGTTCAGTTCAGGGAACCCTACAGGTCCTATAGGGAACCCTATCGGTCCCAAACTGAACCCTATGGGGCCTATAGGAACCTATAGAATTCCTTCATGTTCCTATAAGATTCCTATATATTCCTTTAGGAATATATAAGAATCCTATAATACATTTTCGTAAGCGCCAGGCGCATTCTTCATTCTCTACGTACCCGCCTCGAAAGAACCTCCAGGGACTGCGAACGATCGCGCACCGCCACGTGACTCAAACCGGAGGAATGTGTCGTCCGTTTCGAAGGCATGCCTGGACCCGCCGTAATTCAGTCACTGACTCTTATAAAAGGCGATTCAGTGGAATATTATTAGAGACTTCCTCTGTTATCGATGAGAAGCTTGATGATTCTGAATCTCATTTGGAATCGTCGCTTGTTTTCGTGTACGCGTCCACCTTCGAGACGCTATGCATTAGAGAAGAAACGAAATTGCCAGGCATCGAATGGCCTTGGAGTCACAATGCCTCATCTCCCAGTTTAAATCACCTTCAAAAGTGGTTGACTTCAAGAACTACGTCTGTAACCCACCGTTCACTGAGAAAAGGACTTTCGGAGAATTCCGACCAGGAAAACATAATTTTCTTCAGAAAAGGGAATTCCGATTTAGATATGTCTCCTATTTTCTCACGTACTCTTATAATGCTCCTATTGTCGTTTATCGTTTTTTTCCCCCTGTAAATTAGGTATTTTTTCGTTTTTTTTTTTTCCCAGGAGATTGACCGTCTCGTTCGGGGATTCCTAAGTGGCATTCATTGCTCAAAGACGTTTTGGTACCCTCATTCATCCGATATGCTACAGCGTCACTCTCAGGGAAAGGTTGAATGTACTACTAATGCGTCCCGCTGTTCAGTGCATCCATGTAGAACAGAATAATTTGCATTGTACTCACTCGCTCATCTCGTTCTCTCCCTTCTCGAAGAGCGAGTGTGAGGAGCCATTCTCCCAGGGAATTAAAACTCTCTTTCTTGTAGCTTCATGACGTCTTAATTGTTCGAGGGCATTTTGGGGATGAGTGGGTTTTACAATTAGGGTAAGAAACTAAAACTTATCTGTTTACATGCTCTGGGTCGGAAATTTTTACGATGAAGGATCGAAAATTTCCAAAAATTGTATATAGTGTTTCAAACGTGGACCTCCAAGGCCATCCAACACGAGGCGAAGCAACGGCACTCTTTTAGAACCGGTATATTTAAGTGAAGAAGGAATGGAGGCTGGTGAAGCTCCCCCGATCTCGTCGAGGAAGCTAAGCTCCCTCCATCTGCTCGAGGATGAATTCGGTGAAGTACGGGACCTCCGCCCAGACAGCAGGTCGCTCGGGGATGCCGCAATTCGAGGGTCCCCACGACGTGGATCCGAACAGGTACCGGCCGCCGTCGTCGGCGTCGCACACCATGGGTCCACCCGAATCACCCTAAAATCATCAAAAGAAATTCTCGTCATCGATCTCAATATTATTCTCGTAGGACTGTTTTGTGTTCGTGTTCCAGCCGACCTCATGAGTGTAACCCACTGCTCGCGCAGCAGTAGAACATTAATCCTTTTTCTGCATAAATTTTGAAGAGGTAATACAGCCATGGGCGACTGAAGTCGCCTTTAGCGAAAGGGTAGGGATTTTGTTTGTTTTCGATTCTATTTGGGAGTAGAATCCAATGAATGGATCAAGAGTTTGCAAGAATTTGGATACGTCTGCGATGTGATGTACGTAATGCCGAAGAATTTTGAGCATTGCTGAGGATAAGAGAAACCTATGGACCAGTGATTAAACCCTTAGCCGGTAGAGTTCTCCAGAATGGATCGAGTCCTTTTTTTCTCTCGTTCGTCCGGGATTTCACTCACGTAACGCAACACTATGACAAAAAGCGGGCCCATTTAAGAGCTTACGGTCTTTCCGCACTATGAATGTCATGCATCCTTTGCGTCGATGCTTGGGCAGTTAGGCAGCATAGACTTACAAAAAAAATTATGGGGGAGTGGCAAGGTCCTATTGCCCCCGTTATATTGGCATAATCGTTTCAAGATCCAGTGGGGTAGCTCTGTATTATTATGGCAGCTGCATGACGAGCAGGGGGGGGGGGGTGCTGGGCATGGAGACGGCCGAGGACCCTCGCCTTTCCACCCTATACCCTTACCTGGTGATGGGAATCTGAGTTGGAGCTCTAAAGAGATAGGAAAATCATATTTCTCATGTCTTTCATGAAACAACATTTTGTTTCCCATGTTGCATGTGCCTTCAGTCATTCTCTGGGGGCAATGCCCCCCCCTAATAACATTGTTCTGGGGGCACACGCCCATTTGCCCCCATGGGTTCGGCGCCTATGGTAAGCAGACGCACGCGTGCGCACACAAGTTCGTACGCGCGTCCCCAAACTACACAGAATGCAAGGCTCGTGTTTTCAATCGTACGCGTCCGTATTCCACGCACAAGTGTTGCGTTTTGTGAAAACCCTTGGATACGAGCTGACACGCATGCGTGCGTTCGCGAGCGGCTGGCTGAATGCCCAGGCATCCACAGAAGGACGCGACCTTGAGACCCTTGGCCACTGGTGAAGGAAGAGACTTCTGCTCGATTTCGGTTTGCAGGTTACGATTTCAATGTGATCGGTTTCCTCTGCTGCTGAAAGAAGATGAAACCCGGTCTGTTTTGTGCCGTTGCACTTTCCCTCGGCGCCACGCCACGCTCCCGCAGCGAGTCCATTCTGATTTCAACAATTGGAAGAAAATGCCTTCAGAAAGGAAAATATGAAAAAAAAACCTCGTACATAGCAGACGGTGTGGAATCCTTCCTCGACCCCGGCGCAGATGTTCTGTTCGGGAATCGGGCTGGAACCATCCGGCGCCCACATCTCCATGCACGTCTCGTCGTCGATGAAGTCGATGTTCACGTACAGGAGTTCGTTGCTGGCTCCGCCCGTCAACGTTGCTCCCCAACCGGATGCAGTGCACGCCCCTGTTCGCATGCACGATTTTAACAGCCATTGTTGGGAAAGAATCTTTGAATATGAACCGAGATACATCTATGATATAACATGCATATCGAAATAACGTAACTCAAATAACTCAAGATACAGGTACAATAAGTAAAGTCTGGCTTAGGTACTCCTATTTTATCAATTCATGGACAGCACGTCCCGTGTGACAACGAGCGGCGTCCCTTCCGGGGGGGCAAATGCCCCCCCCCTCCCCACTTTCGAGAAAAGAAGCCAAAAAAAAGGAAAGGACCCAAAAATGCACGATATTCCAGAATTCCCGTGCCCCCCCCCCCCTTTTGTCCAGTGCCACCCCACTTTTTCCATCCACGCTACGCTTATAGTGACAACCACAACCCAATTGAGATCTGCGTATGTCTTTTAGCCTCGGCTTTTTCTGAAACTGTTAAGATTTACATTTGGGATGGTATATTGGTCTCCGCAATGTAACGAAGATCTTCTCACGGACCAGACCTGACGCCAGAAATAAGGCCACTTTAGGTGAACCCTTACAGAGGAACGAAGGAAGAACCCGACCCTACTGCAGCAGTCCCTCCCCCCCCCCCCCCCCCCACCCCCCTCTCCCTCCAAAAATTGACCTACGAAGACCAGCCATCCGCGCCATTATTCATATCAGATAAAAGGTGAAGCGAGAGAACGCATACGAAGCGAGTCAGCCTACATAGACGGACTCCAACCCAAGGAGCCAATCATTCGGATGGAGAGGAAGCAAATCCCTGGGGAAAAGAGTCGGCGAACTGCTTCCATTCCCTTTTCGTGCATGGCTGGGGATCTGCGAGCAGAACTCTCATTTTTGGAGGATTCTCTTGTTCGAAAATGTTACAATTAGCCGAACGGTTTCCTGGTATTAGACTCCTACGCGAGACATTCTTCAATCTGGATCTTTGAAGAAAAAAAAATTGGTGGAAAAAAACGAGTTTGCAGTGTTGCATCTGTGTATCAGAAGGAAGGAAGATTATTTCCGTAAGAGTAGAACTGAGCCTCCTGGAAAAAATCCAATCGCGTCGTCAGCCTCGTGAAAGTTTCGAAAGTATTTTCATTTAAAGGCGAAAGTCGTCCGGTCTACCTCGTCCAGTGGATGGCTGCTGGCCGTCGAGCGCGAGCGTGACGGGTCCGACGAACTCGTTGAACTCGAACGGGGGGTCCACGGTCACCACGGTTATGTCGTTCACCACGCTGGAATGGAATGGATTCGCTCGAGCGGCTTCTCGGGGAGGAGAGTCAAGTTTCTTTTTGGGATTTTTTCTTTTTTTTTCGCTGCATTCGTTTTGAAACTAATGCATCGAACAACGAAGGGCTTCAACCGAGTCGTCCCCCTTCCACCCACGTTTCACCAGACCCATCATAGCTTCTGACAACTTCGAGGGGGGAAAAGAGAGCAATCCCCAATTGTCATCTGGAACTAGCGGGAAAGGCTTCCGAATTCCGAGACTCTTCATTATTCCTATATTATTCCTATATTATTCATAAACTGAGGCTTCGCGTTATACCTGTCAGATGCTGGTTCTAGGTTCATGGCTCGGAAAGGAACGTCTAGAGGCGCTTTCACCCACTGTGGAGTCTAGTGACGAAGTCCCTCGTTCATGAAAGCAAGATAGGCTCACCATTCTTTAAAAATTTTTTTTTTTTTTGGGGGGGGGAGCATATCCACTTACTTACTGCATTGTTACTCATTATTCCTATATTTTTATAGGAATAATGCAGCTGCATTATTCCTATATTTTTAATTTTTAGATTTGTAAAAGCAGTTCCATTGCAGCCGTCGGTGAATGAGGTGAAAGGTATGGTGGATCGGGGTTAAAAATTAGGTCAGGGGATAATATCAGGGTAATATGAAAGCAGAGGTTAATATGCCTGTAGGTCTGTAGAAGAAAAGGTATATTACAGGTAAAAGATGAATGTAAAATGAGACAGGAAATAAAAATACAGGCAAAACACAGTTTAAAAAGGGGAACTGTAAAACTAAATTACAGTCAAGAAAATGGTAAATGTGGAGAAAAGTGAGAAAAGGGGAAGAATTTCACCCCCTTTTTCATATTAGTTTTACCACCAAAGTCCTACCATAGGTAAAAGATTTTCGCATGAAAACGGTCAGAGTACTGCGGATGTGGGGCTTAGGGCCTCCAAAAGGACAGAGCGTGACGGGGACAGACCCGGAGTAGTCGGGATGGGTGACAGCCCTGGTGACGGTCCTTATTTGGGCTTGCGGTCCCGGATTCGAGAGACTGAGGTGTCCCGCCACCACCTGTGCATCGATTTTGGATCAGACTTTAGCATTTCGCGTTTTGCTCACTTTGGTGGGGAATAAAAGCGGTCTGCTCGATGATGATAACCTTTTGTTCTTCTAGACTTCAGGGAAGCCATGTTCCTACTTTAAATTAAGGGGAGTGAACGAGCGTACAGCGAATGGATGATCTCGCTGGGTTGCAATGCGAATGTAATTTGAAAGTAATGTGAAAGTCATATGTATGATTATTGGATCGTAAATTCCAACGATGGTGTCATCGCAGGGAGACTCATCCCATTCGGCACAACAACGTTGCATCAACATTGAGAATAGGTTGAAACGTTGA